TTAAGATACAGATTTAAAATATATATTTAGATTTATTTCAACCTAAGTCAGAAGGTAGGTTTGGGGTCTCTCTGAAGTCCAGTAATAAAGCCAGCCCCCTGTATTCACACTCAGTCAGTTGAGTTATGCAAACCTCTCACCAACTGTAATGGCACCAACTACCAGTGAAGAACTCCATCTTTGATACCTATTACAAAATTCATGGAGCATGTGAGGACAATGTGTACTGACTGGTCTTTGGAGTCAAAGGAGCTTGAGGTACAGGATGAATGCTCCCCCACAATATAGGTGGACACTGGAATAGGAGCAAGGGAAAATATGAAAATGATTTTATATGCTCTTTAGTAATACAGCAGCTTTCTTCTCAAGAAAAACTTTGTCTTGTCTGATGATGAACACACCCCATGCTACCATGTGTCCCAAGTGTTATTTCCCAAGTGCAGCAACTCTTTGGATATAGTGTCAATTTCTTCCTTAAAATGTAGCTGTATATTTTTCTATTAAAGTAAAAGAGAATACACTTTGAGTTTTCTATGCATCCACATCACTATAGATATGGAGTATTGCTAAATAAGGCTTTGCTTACACTGCTTTAAGAGAGACCACATCATCAACAAGCCAGGAAGGAGGCCTTGCTTATGGAGAAGCCTTGTCAATCACAGTTAGTTCACTAAGAGATACAACAGTACTGAGAGGAACACCCAACCCTTAAGTATCTGCGAACCAAATCTCCTGAAATACAGAAGTACTATTGTGTTAAGTGTGTTTGGCTTTTGTTTGATAACAATTATTGCATATTTCTTGAGTCAGAAGGCTTCTTTCCACAAACTACCCAGAGTTCGCTTCCCATTTGCCTCTCAAAGAACTCACCCTACCTTAAAAGTCTTCAGAACCTCTTGAGAGGCTTTGGGCTGGGTGTAAGGCTTGGGTGTCAGCATAGGCACTGCACTGGGAGGGATGGATTTGCTTGGAGACCCACAGCCGCCTGCCGCGCTGGCCTCTGGGACACCGGTGCGAGCAATGGTGGCTTCAACTGTGGCAGTGAACTTGGGTGGAGGCAGTGATTGCTGCCGCAAGTATTTCATGGGGCTGGGGTCATTCGGGACGGAGGATAGGTTTGGCTCTGTTGAATGGCTTCTTTCCAGGATTTTTGGCATCTCCAAGCGTTCCAGCACAGCCTCGCTGATGGTGAACCTCTCGATGTACTGCTGGAGGATCCCTTCGGCCTCCTCCTGTGACCGTGCATTCTTATAGGCCTCGTGTAGCTCCCTCTCCCTCCGCTCTCTGCAGGATGGGACAGGGGAGGAAGAGCAATGAACAGCTGGGAAAGCTGCAAAGATTCCCACCAAGGCAGAGTAAAACCCAACTAGAAATAGTAGCGTTGGAGCTTCTGGAATAGCAAAGGCTATGCTTAGAAAAAGCGTAACTAGATACTCTGACACCCTAACGACAGAAAGACCCACTTTTCTTGCACAATCTCTCTGTAAGTCTTGATGCTTTTCCTCCGTTCACTTGTCCCGTCTTCTCCAGACATCAACTTCTCCATTTTTTTCCTTTCTTCCTCTTTCTTGATTAAGTCCTGAGAAGCACTTCTTCTACGGCTCTTCCAGCGAGCCAGGTCCTGTGGGGGAAGGGGGCGGGGGAAGAGAGAGAGAGATGCGATGTTCTTTCTTAGCCTGCACAGAATTCCCTTTCAGTGACTCACTGAGCACTGAGACACTACGCCGGGATACTTCCCCACAGTCCCATGAAGGTCTGGTTGGAACAAGGATGCCTGGAAGGCCGGGAAAGGAACAGGAAGTGTGCATACCATCACTAACAGGGCAGCTATTTACTGAGACACTGGGGTGTGATATACGCAATAATACCTTACGTTGCTTGGCAAATTTGAGAGAACTGTCTTGCAAGGTAATAATCACATTGGGAACAGATACCCTGGCAACAGAATGGTAGGGAGTTGTGTACCGTTTTCTCCCGGCCGGGAGGAAGGGCTGAAAGATGTGGTTCTGGAGATGAATCTTACAGATCCACTGATTCTATACGTGTGAATTCCTCTTGTCCTCAGGAGTGGCCGAGACCTGACCTACTGGCGCTTCCAGCACAGCGCTGAGGCTGCTGGGTCCGAGGGACACGCTGGAGCTGAGGGAAACAGCCTGGCTCTATTTTGCTCATGCCCTGTCTGTGTTTCCTCGCCTCTCTGACTGGCTTTGCATCTTCTCTACAATGGGGGTGGTGGTTCCAACTCTGCTCCTAAGTCCTGGGGTTCGGTGTGACGACACACTTAGGTGCTAGACACACAAACATATTGTCATTACACTGTTCCAACTTTGGAGAAATTAACTTTTGGACTAATGGTGGAGTCAGGTTCGCAATAGTGACCTACCTGCTCTGTGAGAAACAAACACCATGATCCCCTCTCCTTCCTGCTGAAGCTCTTTGCTCTCAGCACACCACCGCCAAGCTCTCGCCAGCCTCTGGCACCTTCTTTCCCTGGTTTGAGTTTTGCTTCTCTACTCACTAGCAATGGAACTTGGGGCCGTGACTTAGCTGGGCTGGGATTACATCTGTGGGTGCTGGGAGCTAACCATTTTTAGTACACCGAGCTACTAAACGGTTGGGTGAATTACCCAGAGCAAAGCATTTAGAAGAGTGCCTGCTACTGGTACAATTAACGCTGACAGTTGCAGTCATCGTAATCATCCATCAGTCTTAAATACAGAAGATTAAAAGGCAGCTCTGTGCTTATCCTAGTCGCTTGCCTCCCTTTCCCTTTGTGACCAAGCTCTGGTCCAGAGTACCTGCTGATACATACACACCAGGGCCAGTTCCTCCTCTCTCTGCGTTCCTACAGACCCCTCCTTTAATCTTCCCCCTGGCGAGGAGGTCTCCCTCTGCAAGGCTGGGGCGGCCCTCCCTAGCAGGGCTTTGAAGTCTACCCTCCCAGCCCGGTGGTCGGCTGAGTCCCTCCCCAACGGCCCGCGGCTTTGGCCCGAACTCACATCTTGCCATTTGTCGTCCTCTTCCCTCAGCTGGTTATTTATCAGCTGCAGCTGCTCCTGACGGGCCCTGCTGTGCGGCAGCACCGCTGCCTCCTCCTCACACCGCATGTCAAACATACTCGTGCTCCTGATATGGAGAGAGCAAAAAACAAAAAGCAAGCGGGATGAGCGCGGGTGGCGGGCTCTTGTGGCTACTGCGCATCGCCGCCTGGGGGCGCTACCAGGCTGAGAGCCGCCTCCTCGCTCCGCAGCGGGAAGCAGCCACCAGCAGCACAGCCTAGAGCGGATGCCTTTGTCCTCATTGATGGCCCTGAACTGATCAGCTTTCTAAAAAACTTTCTAAAAAGGTGCCAAAAAGAGGATAGGAGAAATCTGAAGGCCCACACTCTTCTCATTTAAAGGTATAAAATTTAGGGAGAATTTGTGGGTACAGGCACATTCCATTCCATTCCAGCAGAACATCAATATACTTCGAGGTGAAAAGAGATGGCTGGCCTGACTGGTCTACATGCCCAGAGACAATTCTTCACTGGGGGGGGGGGGGGCGGGGAGGGGAGAAAGGATAGGGCCTCAAGATCAAGACACCTACTGCTGCCTGTTGCATATTTAAATTGATGCTGGCAGCATGTTGTGGTTATTTCTTTTTCTTTTCTATACAATTATGTAATTGATAGTACATCTTGGAATCAAGAAAATAAGGCATTTTGTAATACGAGGATGGGAAAAAAATATAAAGCAGGGAACACTTTGCACCCTAATGTGTTCACAATCATTTTGGTTTATTTTTGCCAGGATATTTTTACTTTACTTTCGAAGGGAAAGGGCAGGCAATGAAGACAAGCAAACCTTTTGGCTGCGCATGCCGCTGATAGACTCTGTGGGCACTTACTAAGACCACAGACCTCAACGGACCTGTGAAGAGCAAGCATTGAAGCAGCAGGAGCATACGGAAGTAGAGACCAAAGCCAAACCCTCCTCCCCAGGCCCCTTAAAGAAACGATAGCCTCTTAAAACCAAAAGGATCGCATGGATAGAATCCGCAAGAGGCCATGGAGAAGCCTTCCACGCCACACTAGCTGTAGAAGATGGTGGTAATCCATTTTTAAAGCCAGCTTAACATCCAGAAAAAAAACAATAAAGCCATGCGCTTGACAACTGATTCCAGACACCTTCAGAGTCGCAAAGGGTGGCAGCACCGTGGGGTGAATCTGCATGGGTGGCCGGGTTCCTCCACCCTTTCTTGGGCTCCTGGACATCTGAAATCTAACCCGAGACCTTGAACTCAGAGACTCTGTCTTCTCCAGAGTGTTCTAGAACTCCAACTGCAGAGACTTGGCTTTGAATCTGAGGGGTCTGTCAGTCCAGGGGTGACTTAGCACAGTGGGAAGCTGCTATTGCCAGCTCTCCCAAGAGTGCTGGCTTCCAAAGCTGCACCTTGCAGGGGAAAAAAAACAAAATTCCCCCTCAAAGGGGAAGGGGCTGTGATCTTTTTCATCTCTTTACTCTATTTATTAGCATTAAGAAAGGCTCAGGAATTTACAGGGTTAAGTAGAATGTTGTTGTTGTTGTTTTAACTTTAAGATAAAAATTCAGGCAGTGGTGGCGCACACCTTTAATCCCAGCACTTGGGAGGCAGAGGCAGGCAGATCTCTGTGAGTTCAACACCAGCCCGGTCTACAAGCGCTAGTTCCAGGACAGGCACCAAAAATAAATAAATAAAATAAAATAAAATAAATAATAATTTACATAAGTAGGCCTTCTAGAAATAGATGGAAACTGATACACTTTATAGTAAGGGGGGGATTTACCTTTAAAATATCCAACCCAGTCAGTTATTTTTAAGGTAATTCCAGTTTCTACTAAAGCCCTTGGATGTATAACTCTCTGAGTCAAGTACCTTACACATCAAGGAGTCAAGGTTGGAGAGAAAGAGGAGGCCCCAACGTTGCTGCCTGTGAGCTCTAAAGGGCAGAATTCTGGGTTGGTCATAGTAGGCGGCTAGGCAGTGACCTCTGCAGGGGTGGGAAGGGAGCAGTTGGCTTCTCCAAGGTGTAGGATTCAGCCACTCACTAGCTGTTCATGGAGGGATTGAGAGGCTTCCACAGCTGCCTTCCTCAGCCTTGATTTATGAGGCTCTGACTCACCTTACCCTAAGGGTGGCCAAAGGCCAGATAATTAAGTGAAACTCTTGCTTGCCTCTCCTATAGCAGGAATTACTATCCCCCTCACCCCTAGGGTGTGTGTGTGTGTGTGTGTGTGTGTGTGTGTTTAAAGAAATATCAACAACTTGCCAAAAAAGAAAATAGCAAATTGTAACATTTTTGTCATTTTTTTTAAATTTACTTATTTGTCATTTTTTTTTTAAAAAAAAGGAACTGAAAAAGTTGAAAATTGACAATAACAGAAAATGGGCTGAGTCACTATTTAGAAAGTGTCCGTCAGTTCAGAGGTTGAACTTCACATCCAAATGAAGAAGTGTGAGTCTGGGTATGGAACGGGGTGAGATGGGGTGAAGAGCCCTGGGGAGACCCAGCCCCCAGAATATTGTGACTGGGACTGCACCAGGCTTCAGCACCAACGCTTACGTCCTGGCTCTTGGGATGCAGGTTGGCTGCTGGCTGTAGAGCTCAAGACTCAGTTGGGAGCAAGCTAACATTTTTGAGGAATGGGATTAGCCTTCCTCTAGTGGCACCTGGAAATGCTTTCTGAGGTAAGTCTAAGATGAGAAAATTCAGAATAAAAGGCCTCATGGCGCTCCCAAGAGGCAGGCTCCTCTGGCAGAGGCATGCTGAAAGAAGAAATTTGTAAGGTTGAGGAGCTCTGGGAGAAGGTGAAGTTAAACTTATAGAGATGTCCTTGACTGGCCGGAAGGTGCAGATTTCACTATCTCTGTGGTAGGTCGACCCTGACTTGTGTTTTATCAGGACGTTGTCTTTTGACTGGGCTGGATCTTAATGTGTCAATTATTAATAAGTATAGTTTATGCCTTTAAAGGGTTTGGAAAAGGGAGCAGGAAAGGAAGTAAGATCAGCGCACATTTGTTTTAAAAATTAACGGCTCTTAGTATCACCTTTTGGTTTTGTTCCCCACATGGCTTCACAGCAACCATGTCTGCTCTAAGCAGTTAATTTGGCACTTTGTATATTCTCAAATCAAACCTCTGGACAAGAAAGCCCTTGACCTCTTCCTGGTACACAGGGACAGTTTTTATAAAGACCAGAAAAGGGTTTAAAGCACTGTCCCTTTAAACAGTCCCTAAGTTTCTCCAAGGCAGGCATGGGGAAGATCTACAGCCCTCTGAGCATAGCTTCCTTCCCTTCACCTTTTAGGTTGTCCCAAGATCTACTTTGGGCAAACTGCAGGATGGCTTGGCCTAGGTGAAGATTAAGTCCACTCTGTCACAATGTTGCTGCCCGCCATGTCAGAGGAGTGCTTCATCTGTCAATCTCAGGCCCTCCTCCTGTCAGGATCTTAAATGTTGCCACTGCGGGGTTCAGGCCTCAGTTTTACAGACTGCCTCACTCTGGGCAGTCAGTCAAGAGCGGGAAGAATTTCATTTCGGAGGCACGAAGGTTCTGTCTCCCAGATGACCAAATAGTTCTAGATTGCCCATCAGAATTTGGGGACGGAACAGGAATGATTAGGGCTAAGAGCCTAACCTAGGCTGATATCTTTGACACAAACATAGGAAAAGCATGATGTGAAAACATTGTTTGAAGTCTCCCCTCTGCTTAAATAACATTATTGTGTCATGGGTGGAAATGACATCTGTAGGTTCTACACCCCGACTTAAACTCCTTTCTATGACGTGGACCTTGGCCAAGGAGAACAGGCAGCGCCCATCCGTCTAGTGATGGCCTTGTCTCTGTCAGGACACACACACCTTCTGTGTAATGGGAGGTTGGAATGAAATATTAAATCCTGTTCGTTAAAGGACCAATTACTCAGACCTGAGAAGAATATTATTCTGGAAAACTCTGTATATCTGGTGCAGAATGATCTGCTTACAGAAAACCCAGTGTTGGGACAGAATTTATAGGGTCACGGATGAGACAGTAAAGATTCTTCTCAACCTGGGTATGTGAGGTGCTGAGTGGGAAAGAGACCTCTGGGTGGGAGGAACAGCAGGTGGCAGGCAGAGGAGCCCAGGTCCTGTTTTATACTCTTGACCCCTTGCTATGCTGGGGAACTTGAACAAAACCCCAATGTTTGGGTCTTAAGCATCGCACCATTCCTATGACTCCAACCTGGTAGGAACTTGGGCTTCTGAGTCTATAATTAGTGGTTAGGATTTATTTTCTTAGTTTGGGGGAAAAAAATGTGACCGTAAGAATGACTACTTCATTGTTTATGCTAAGCCCCAGCGCATTAGGAGTTAAACTGCAAAACTCAAGACAGCCCTTTCCTAATCCCAATAGTCCCACGACTTCCCAGTTCAGGAGGGGCACCAACGTTCAGGTCACAGAGCGGCTTGAGCGTGCTGAGCTATGAACAATGCAAACAGAAGCTGAAGCCCCGACTGGACATTAGCATCATGCTTAAGTTGCCTTCTCCTTTTCCCTGCACAGAACGCGTTCTGCCTCGTGGTCCTACGTGCTCTGCTGGGGCCTGGGCTCACTTTGCAGCTCGCTGCAGCATCCGGTGCATGCCAATTAGTGGTAAGTACTGGAAGCATGCAGTTTAGGCTAGCGATTAATGTAATCCCTACGGATGTGATGCCACTTACTCTGCGTCATCCGACACAGGAGTTCTCGGACCGTATCTACAAGATCAAATAAGAAAGTTAGAGGACTGGCAGGGAGTGGACGACGCGACCAACCTGAAAGACAAAAAACAGCAATCCGTGTATACAAAACCTCTTTCGCTGACCACGCTGAAAGAGAAATGTCATAACACAATTAGCAATATTCGTTAGCTACTGAAAAAAATTAAAGCCTTGATATTTCCAAAAGGTATAAAATTTGTGTTAAAACCCAGAAGAGAAATCAAATAATCCTATGCTGCCCACAAAGAAAAACTCTGTCCAAGGTAAACACAAAGCGGCTTAGGTGGAACCCATGGTGCTCGGGCAAGGCAGCTTAAAACGCGTGCATACGACAGTTGCTCGCAGACAGCTA